AAGATTGCTGACATAATAGTATCTAGAGAGAGACTGTTTGTGAGGTGTGTGTGTGTGTGTGTGTGTGTGTGTGTGTGTGTGTGTGTGTGTGTGTGTGTGTGTGTGTGTGTGTGTGTGTGTGAAAGAAAGATAGACAGAAACAGTTAGTTAGAGATAGGTGGCAGTTGAGTTTCATCTAAAAGCTGCCCACGTATGAGAGATATTCAAACATACACACACCATCCCACACACACCAACAATGCATTCTCTATCTGCCAATACTCAATTAGTGTCAGCTGTCCAATCTCGACTGCTCTCACATCCAAACAGACACACACACACACACACGTCTATCTGTTCAGCCAAGATTGTATGAGCAAACACAAACACCCAAAGCACACACAGTTAATGGCCCATAACTACAAAAAAAATAAAATAAATAATAATAATAATAAAAAAATTCAAAGAAACATTAGGCCAGACAAACATCACATAAATTCTAAAAAAAAAAAAAAAAAGAGGCAGAAAATGTGTAATTTCTATGATATAATGTATCTCCTATAATGGCAAATGATAAAGTCTTAATGTGAGACTTTAAGTAGATTTTTCATCTCCTTAATGTGCACAAACATCTAAGCAAGTCATTTATATATTAATTTCTCCAAAAAGTACAAACACTGGTGCTTTCAACATTGTAGTTGTTTATATCATTGAAAACTGTATTATCGCCCAGCTCTGATCTGTTAATGCGAATATAATGCATGAAGATATTAAGATATTATAAACATCAACATCAAGATTGTCTGTAGCTGCTTTGAAACAATGTATTGTAGAAAGTGATATATAAATACATTTGACTTGATTTGACTTGACCTGTTTGGCGGACCAATGGCAGACGAAGGGCGTGTTTCAAAAACAGTTTAAACTCAATCACTGGTTATGTCAACTGATGTGCAATGGCTGCAGTAAGTCCACAAAGACGTAGGGTGCTTTATTTGTCATTTTAGATTTTGGAAGGGAGCTCAGAAGGACTTTTGTGGGCTCCAGAACAGTTCTTTATTAGTCTGTGTGGCATTATGTCACCAAAAATGGTGGGCTCACAGATGGACCGCACCTCTGGGACAGAACCGTTCCATTTGGTTCCGCTAGCGGTGCAGGAATTAAACATTTATCCTTTAAATCAAGACAACAGCATGCAGTAAACACAAGAGAAAACGCAGGAAAAAAAGACTTGTTAAAAAAACGCATAGTTTAAACTGGTAACCTCTGGTGGATGGTTAATCCAGTCAAAAGTGTTAAATGACCAAAAATGTGCAAGAGACTGAGCATGTGTGACTGATTTGGTTCATTAACCAGAGAAGGCAGCCTGCAGGAGTAATGCATCTTTCACTCACACACACACTCATGCACACTTTGTGCCATCTCTGCAGAATGGCTGTAATCTTTTTGCTATGCAATACTTTTAGCTAACATGCTAACCTCATTCCAGCAGTCCCCGAACACCCTGACAGCATGCATCAGAGAGTATTTGAACCCAAAGGCATATTACTGCACCAGGACCGGAGCAGCACTAATGCAGCCAAGCTCTTCTCCTCATCCTGTGCCATTTATGTGAGTCTTTCCCTCTCTTTCTGTGCTAGTTCCATCTCCAGATTGTGCAATTAAAACATCTGGACTATAAGAAAAGCTGTATGTTGACGTTTTGCTTACATTGTGACCACATGTCCCCTCAAGGATGGTAAAACCTGAAATCACCAACATTGCAGGGACTTTTCAACAGTCACCTTAATAAAAAGATTAAATAATGTCTTAATGAACATCTAAATAAAATGGTTTCTGTAAGGGTTACTTTTAGACTGACTAAAATTAGCTCAATGTAAAACAACAGAAGTCAATGAAAAGTCCTTGTATGGATGCATATGTTAAGAGATGAAAGAGATGCACAATTAGAAAAGTGACATAAAGGTAAATCAACTGATGCAGGCAACATAATTACTATGGAAATATTATTTGGCACAGTATCATTTATCTCAGTACATTTATAGCAGAATCGGCGTCAAGTTTATGAATGAGATCAATATATACGCATTCAGAGAAACAAACTAAATAGAAACAACACTCCAACAGACAGACAGAATTACAGAAAGACAGACAGAGAGATAAATGGATAGATGGATAGATAAATAGACTGAATGATAGAAAGACAGAACTATACATGGGTATATAGACAGAACGACCGACAGACAGACAGACAGACAGATAGATAGATAGACAGATATATAGATAGATAGATAGATAGATAGATAGATAGATAGATAGATAGATAGATAGATAGATAGATAGATAGATAGATAGATAGATAGATGATACTGTGCTCTATGCCACATTACCTTCATCATTGTGTTGAAGTTCAAATCACTTTTTAATGAGCGATTCATTAAGTTCATCTCTATGTCTTCATAAAACTCTCTGCCAGTCTTTTATCATTTTACAGATGTGATCTATTAAATTTTTAGGAATGCTGTACAAGCTCTCTCATTCCCTCTAGCACACGCACACATGCATTGTGCGGAGTGCTGGCAGAGCTCAGCTGTGGTTTGTGAATGGGATATTACATGAAGATGATGTTGCAGCCACTCTGACTTTGATATGAGACGACCATCTCTCCCTGTCTTTCTGCATCCTCTAACTGTTCTAATCTTCCTCATACTTGATAATTGACCAATTTTTATCCCAGATTTCATTGTACTTTCTGTCTCACTTCCTTCCTTCCTGTCGCACTTGTTCTCCTTTCTGTCTCCATCCCATCAACGCAGTTCCTTGTTTTATTGTCACATAACTCTTCCTTGTGTGGTAGCAGAGCATGCCTAAAGTCTTACCCGCTGCAGAGTGAGCTGGAGTCCCGGGTTCAGCTGGAGGTTCAGGTCTGCAGAAGAACAAGACCGGCAATGCACAGACAGGCAGCAAACCGAACTGGAGCTTGAGCACACCAAAGAGAGAGAGAGAGAGGGAGAGAGAGATAGACAGAGAGGGAAAAAGAGAGAGACAGAGCAGGACAGAGACGAACACTGACTAGTTGGAGGTGAGATGAAGGGGAGAGAGAGAGTGTGAGAGGAAGATAAACGGACAGAGAGAGAGAGAAAGTGAGGGAAAGACAGACAGAGAGAAGAGGAGGGGCTTAAATCGGATAGAAGGGACAGCATGATGCCGTAAGAAAATCAGTAAGAATCAGTGAATGAATGAAGGACCAACTCAATGAATTAATGACAGAATAATAAAATGACCAGTTAAATGACCAAATGACCTAATGAATGAATCAACAAGGGAATAAACAAATGACCTAATAAATGACTCAAATAAACAAATGACCAAATGAATGAATGAATGAATAAACAAGAGAATGAACAAATTACTAATAAATGACCCAAATAAAAAATGAACCTAATGAGCAAATGAATGAACAAGCAAATGACTGAATGAAATTACATTGTGAATTAAGTAATGCATTAGTGTACAAACACATAAATGACTGAATAAATGAACAAACAAACAAAAAAAAGATCAGTTTAGTCTAAAAAAAACAGAATTTATGTAAAGTTCCATAAAGGGATAGTTCCCCAAAAAGTCATTATTTACTTACCCTCGTGTCATTTTTTTACATTCATATAAAAGCATTTTCTCCTGATTAAAATGCCACAGTAACCTTGAATATGTCTCTTACAGAGTTTCAGAAGACATCTCTGCTCGCATTAAATTCAAGGCATTAATGTTTGCCTACAAAACCACCTCTGGCTCTGCACCCATTTACCTAAATTCATTATTTCAGGGTTATGTGGCCTCTAGAAGCTTGCGTTCTGCAAGTGAACGGCGTATTATTGTGCCATCTCAAAGAGGCACAAAATCACTTTCACTGACTTTTTCATTAACTGTTCCCTCCTGGTGGAATGACCTGCCCAAATTAATCCTTAACCATCTTCAAGAAACGACTAAAACACATCTGTTCCACCTTTATTTTACCCTCTAACTCTAACACTTTCTATTCTGTTGTAATTCTACTTTATCTATATTTATCTTCTTTTTTTTATAAAAACAAAAAAAACAAACACTAGCTTTCTATTTTTTATATTCTATCTACTTGTTTTTCTCTGTGTGTGTGTGTGTATAATATAAATATATATATATACCTTGCTACGTGTACTGCGTTAGGCTAACCGAGATTTGTCATTTGCACTTATATATTGTTGCTCTTTTGTTCGTTTTGACTGCTTTTATTGTCCTCATTTGTAAGTCACTTTAGATAAAAGTGTCTGCTAAATGACTAAACGTAATGTAAATGTAAATCTCAACAATGTCTCAAACTGCTCTCATTCCTCATACATGAAGTTCAAAATTCTGCAATCAAAAGTCAAAGATTTCAATATGAACTCAAACCTAACCCCTCTAATTATTTCAAGATTAAATGATCTGAGCAACGTGCTATCCACATTCATCCTACAACACTATATTTTTGTATCTAATCTTATATCTCCCAAGGAATTTTAGTAGGAAGAGTTGATTCCTAAATGAGAAACAACTGAAAAGTAAATCTCCTGGGATACGAAAGAACAATCCAAAAGGCTCTGAGCAAACCCCGAGGAAAATAATTTTTGAGGTGATGATGAAACACGAGGATTAATAAACCAGAACTTGCACAAAAAAGATAAAGTTGCCGAGTGTAGAAGAATGACTAGCAAAAATAAGGCACGAATCCTCAGGAGGGGTACAGAGAGCAGCAAATGATTCCAACTCATAATAGGATGACCTAAAGGCACATACACAATTATTTCTAAATTGTATAAAGCATAAACAAGAGGTTGAATGTGTGTGAGAGTTTCAGGCCCATCACAGTCCAGCAAATGTGCTCCAATGAGCCATACATCACAACATCTGTCCATATGACTGTGTGCCACAGCACCTCTGGTTTTTCACTCAGTCCTCACTCAAAGTGACAGTGGCGTCTGCATTCAAGAAAGAATTAACCCAAAACTGAAAATTCTGTCATAATTGACTATGTTGTTCCAAACCTGAACAACTTTCTTTTTTCATGTAAAACATAAAAGAAGACATTCTGAATAATGTTGTACATAGCTCTTTTCCAAACAATGAAGAATACAATGTCTACATGTCAGGCTCCAAAACAACAACAAAAAAGCATCTCAGAAGTACCATAAAAATAGTCCATATGACTTGTGCACTATATTCCCTGTCTTCTGAAACCATATGATACATTTATATGAGGAACTGTTGGACTTGAATGAGAGTTCAAACAGCTGATAAAAACATCACAATAATCCACAAGTAATCTACATGGCTTCAATTAGCCACAAACCCATCATTACAGCATTTTAACTTTAAACCGTCGCTCCTGCTCAAAATACCAATCCATATTCCATAATCAATAATAATGTTTCCTTATGTGGAAATAGTCCATCCCCTGTTGTCCTCTCACATCAAATTCCACCAACATATTTGTTTACGGCTGTTTTGGACTGTTTTCGCTTGTAAACTGTGCTTGATCTGTACAAATTTCTCTCCTGATTCAGATGAGATGATGTTTTCACTGGAGAAAGCCATATTATGGAGAGAGGACTCCTTTGAAGTTAAAATGTTAACGGATGGACTGGAGTGGTGTGGATTACTTGTGGATTATTGTGATGTTTTTATCAGCTGTTTGGACTCCCATTCTGACGGCACCCATTCACTGCAGAGGATCCATTGGTGAGCAAGTGATACATTTCTCCAAAGCTGTTCCACTGAAGAAACAAACTCATCTACATCTTGGATGGGAGTACATTTTCAGCAGATTTTCATTTTTGGGGTGAAATCTCTCTAAATGATTGGAGAAGTTCAGCATACTTCACCAGAGAGAAGTCAAGACATTTTCATAAAAAATTATGAGGTCAAAACAAAATTATAAAAAAAAGAGACATATGCATGGATGAATCATTCACATTAAAATACAATAACATGCATTTAGAAAATACTTATGGTCAGTTTCTGTTTCATGCAACTTTAATATAATTTGCACTTCTGCATCATTAACTTAGTCTGTCGCAATAGGTTATAAAAACACAACAACCAATGCTGTTTGCCATCACTGACATAAATTCTGGTACAATCTGGTACAAGGCTCCCTGAAACATTTAACATGTATGTGAAGTGAGTGACATAATCAGCGAATCTGGTCGCCAAGAGCCTCAACCGATCACAGGCAACATTTGCTTTTCTTCAGTGTTTTTGGGCATTTATTCTTGAGTGGAATGATTTATGCTGGGTTACTGAGTTTCTTTGGTGTTTATGAAAGAAAGCTTTTAGGCTGACAGCCAACACAGCTCCCAGATCAGCTAAACGCGAATGACATTCAATATCACATCAACATGCTGTTCTGCAATCAACCTTCAAGGGAAGCACTAAAACAAGCCACTTCACACAATTATACAAAACAGAGTTAAAGTTTACCTCAGCTGTTTGGTAAAACAAGGACCGATTCTCACAATTTAAGTCAAGTCAAGTCACCTTTATTTATATAGCGCTTTTAACAATACAGATTGTGACAAAGCAACTGAACAGTATTAATTAGGAAAATAGTGTCAATAATGCAAAATGACAATAGTAAACACTCATTTTTCAGTTAAAGACAGTTCATCATTGAATTCAGTGATGTCAACATCCAGCTTAGTTCAGTTTAAATAATATCTTTGCAATTATGTCAACGATAACGCTGGAAATGAAGTGTCCCCAACTAAGCAAGCCAGAGGCGACAGCGGCAAGGAACCAAAACTCCATCAGTGACAGAATGGAGAAAAACCTTGGGAGAAACCAGGCTCAGTCGGGGGGCCAGTTCTCCTCTGACCA